TTTTTTTTTTTTTTTTTTTGACAACTGCCCTGAGAACAGGCTTTCTTCACTAAACAAATTCTGAGTCAGAACAAATAAAGATAAGCCCTGAGAATAGGGCTTTTTCAAGGAGCTGCCAAGCAGATCAGATAGTGACAAGGTTCTGCGGATTGATGTCTGCAGCACTCTCAAGCTATTTTGACTGCTAGGCAGCTGGTTTTCGCAGCTATCATGATTGTGAGGCTACTGGTTTTCAAAATGACCGAGGATCTTGCTGGATGCAGTGGCTCGCAACTGTAATCCCAGCACTTTGGGAGGCCAAGGTGGGCGGACCGCTTGAGCTCAGGAGTTTGAGACCAGCCTGTGCAATATGGTGAAAACCCATCTCTACAAAAAATAACAAAAATCAGCTGAGCATAATGGTGTGCGCTTTAGTCCCAGTTACTTAGGAGGCTGAGGTGGGAGGATGGCTTAAGCCCAGGAGGCAGAGGTTGCAGTGAGCTGAGATTGTGCCATGCACTCCAGCCTAGGCCTGTTGCCTAGCCAGAGCCTGTCTCAATAATAACAATAATAATAATAATAATAATAATAATAATAATAATAATAAAATACTGAGGATCTTGAAAGAGCACTGTGGAAATAATGCAAGTTAAAATGCCACAAAGCTTGCTCTTTTTATTGAGATTTAACACCTTCCTTAACTAAACACCCCTTGAAGTTTTGCAAGCCTTTGGTTCACTTCTAGACTTCTGGAAAAATTGATTTGGACTATTTTGGCCATTGTTCTCATTGATTTTATGGGTATTCAGAAGTCTTACCCCAACATTCCAATGTTACCCCAACATTAAAAATAATTATTTTTAAAATGATTATTTTAAAAATAAAAAAACTATTTATTTTATTGATTTATTTGAGACAGAGTCTCCCTCTGTTGCCGAGGCTGGAGTGCAGTGGCACAATCTCAGCTCACTGCAAACTCCACTTCCCAGGTTCAAGCAATTCTCCTGCCTCAGCCTCCCAAGTAGCTGGCATTATGGGCGTGTGCCATCACACCCGGCTAATTTTTGTGTTTTTAGTAGAGATGGGTTTTCACTGTGTTGGCCAGGCGGGTCTCAAACTCCTGATCTTGAGTGATCCACCCGCCTTGGCCTCCCAAAGTGCTGGGATAACAGGCATGAGCCATCATGCCTGGCCTCCCTGTAGCTATTTTTAAATGAATTAAGTAGAATAAAATTAGAAATTCAGTTCTTCTCCCACACTAGCTGCATTTTAAGTGTTTAATAACAACATGAAGCTACTAATGGCTGCATTGTGTAGTGCAGATGTGGAATTCTTTTGTTTGTTTTTTGTTTTGTTTTTGAGATGGAGTCTTGCTCTGTCACCAGGCTGGAGTGCAGGGGCACGGTCTCAGCTCACTGCAATCTCTACTCCCTGGTTCGAGCGATTCTCCTGCCTCAGCCTCCCGAGTAGCTGGGATTACAGGCACACGCCACCACATGCAGCTAATATTTGTATGGATGCTCTTGATCTCCTGACCTCGTGATCCGCCTGCCTGAGCCTCCCAAAGTTTTGGGATTACAGGCGTGAGCCACTGTGCCTGGCCGACATGGAATGTTTACATCATTGCAGAAAGTTCTTACAGGAAGACTCTAGAAGGAGAAAGCCTAGAATCATGATAAAATTGCAGATATCTTTCCTTATCCCTTGTCCCTTTCCAGGTCTGTCCCCAACAGCCACCACACGGGGGTGGATTCCCTGTGTAACTTCTCGCCACTGGCTCGGAGAGTAGACAGAGTTGCCATCTATGAGGAATTCCTGCGGATGACCCGGAATGGTAGCCAGCTGCAGAACTTCACCCTGGACAGGAGCAGTGTCCTTGTGGATGGTAAAGCTCCCTGGGTCATTGGGGCTGGGGTGGCAACTCCCACTTCCTCACCTGGGTCCTTCCCTGGGAATCTGAAGGCTTGGGGATGATTCATCATCGAACATTCTCAGACTGGGAGAAAGTGGCTTAGTTCTCCTAGGCGTTACCCATCATTGGAGGAAAGAAAAGGATGCCCGAGGGATACGGGAGGCATTTGCCCTCCTCTGGCTGGCTCTGTGACCTCAGGCTAGTCACATCTCCTCTCTGGACTTCTTATCTCTGTACTAAGCAAGTCACTCGGTTTTTGGTTCCCCTCTTGCCTGCCCTAGATGGTATTGTTCCTCCACCCCTAGGCAGCTGCAGTGTTAAACAATTACCCTGATTAGTTGTTGTTGTTGTGTTGTTTATTTGTTTGTTTGCTTTTGAGAGAGGGTCTCACTCTGTCACCTAGGCTGGAGTGCAGTGACATGATCTCAGCTCACTGCAGCCTCAACCCCAGGGCTCAAGCAATCCACCCATCTCAGCCTCCCAGATAGCTGGGACTATAGCCATGTGCCACCATCCCCGGATAATTTTTGTATTTTTTCCAGAGATGGGGTTTGGCGATGTTGCCCAGGCTG